TATATACATGTGAAGGGTTATTCGGAGATTCCTGACAGATATCAGTGTTACAATGTAAGTTGAGTTAATTTTGAAAAAAAAATGGTTTGGAAATAGCAAAGTGCTACTTGTACTTATTGCCCTATAACTTTCCAAAAAAGCTAAGAACATGTTAACATTGGGTATTTCTAAACTCAGGACAAAATTTAGAAACTATTTAGCACAGGTATTTTTTGGCGGTTGTAGATGCGTAAGAGATTTTGGGGGTCAAAGTTAGAAAAGGTGTTTTTTATCCCACCGGGAGGTTTACAGGGTACAGCCTGCCCCATGGGCGCTATGATACTTGTTAAAATATGCGGTTACACAGCAACTAGGCCACCTAGACTAGCTTGTACCATCATTGGAGATTCCCTGTAACACCCCCTTTTTTCTCCTCCCTCCCTCCTTTTTCCTTTCTTTTTTTTTTTTTCTTCTCTCTTTTTACTCAAAGGTTTAACTTACACCTTTCCTATCTATTAATATATTTTTCTCTAAGTCTGACTGACATCTAAACCTCGACCAATCTGCTAGCTAAAGCCTTGCACTAGCTGTGATGAGACACAGGATGCAGGCAGGTTAAACACGGTTAGAATGGCAATGCAACACTGGCGATTCTATACGCTTGGTTGGAGTCCACTGATATTGCTATCCTATGAGCGCATCGTATAGGTCGATGAATCTTGGCACCTTTTATGAGTAACAAGTATACTATAGTCAGTCAGGATCCTTTGTTTTATCTCATTTAAAAACCGGGTGGGACACCATCGATGTATGGACTTTCACAGTCAACAAGCAACCTGTAGCGTAGATACAGTATTCCCCAGATTATCTCCGCTTAACATCCCAGTGAGGCTCAGGAACAAGTAATTATAAATCCACAGGCAAGGTTTCCAACAGGCAAAATAATCCAATAGTATCCCCACAGCAATCCCAATGACTGGACGACACACAGCATCAGGAGCAGAACTGACAACCTTTATTCCACAGTGCCTTATATAGCATGCTCCCATGCAAGGGAGGGATTTTCATCAATCAGTACAGTACCCAATCCGACAATAGTAACCTCCCACACATCTCCTCCCCTCAGCCTGCATCATAATCCCCTTATACTGTATCCAAATTCCCCCAGTTTCTGGATGTACCCCTAAACCTAGGGGTACCCCTTTAAATGGCACATCCCCTGTTAGCCCTGATCTGGGTGAGCAACATATCCAAAAATCACCCAGATCGGACCAGGGGTTCGGGAAATTTATGGAGGTACTAAAAAGACCGACCGCGCTGGATAGAACAGCCGAATTGGGTTCCATGCGATGGGGCCCTGCGGTTGGTCCCAGTACAAGGGAATAATGTACACGAACGGCTAAGGCTACAGAGATCAGGTAGGGTTCACATGAATCCCCTCGTTCGGTTGTTTCTGTCTACCGAATGAGGGGCCGTTCGGTAGTTTGGAACCGAACGGACCGGGCTTGTGGAGGTCTCAGCGGTGTTCGCCTAGTCGAGTGTCCGATTTGGGTTCCAGACACTCGACGGCAAAACACCGCTGTTCGGGAGTTTTAAAATGGCCGCCACCACGTGTTCGTTTCCCGAATGGCGGCCACCCCGAGACAAAGGACCTACTGCATGGCTTGTTAATTACCGGTTCGCAACATTGTTGCAACGGGTAATTGGAGGCACACTTCACACAGGGGAGGTCTGATTGTTCGGTAGTTTCATTCCCTTAGTTTATTCGAATGATTCTACCGAACAATCAGACAAATACACTTTATTTAAACACATATAAAACCAGCAGTTTACACGAATGCAGTGAACACATGAAATTTTCAGGACAGCCCAGTGCCATCCGCTACACAACCGTCCACTAAAATTGCTTACAGTTGGTTTTATGAATCTACACACATACTTGCCTCATACTAATGTTGATATGTGTTAGTTGTAATGCCTACATTTCTATTGTATTGTATATTTCATTGTGGAGTCTGACCTTGAAAAGAAAAGGTGTGTTTTTTACATTTTTTCATCATATTTTATAAAAACATTTTATAGTAAATTATATGATATGATGGAAATATTGATACCTTTAGAAAGATCATTTAATGGCGGGAAAAATAGTATATAATATGTGTGGGTACAGTAAATGAGTAAGAGGAAAATTACAGTTAAACTCAAACACAGCAGAAATGTAAAAAGAGCCCTGGTCCTTAGAGGTAATACAATTGAAAAAACGGTCTGGTCAAGAAGGGGTTAAACTGCAGCATGGCAGAGAAACCATCACTACTCTTTCCTATTTTCTAGGATTGCGTTTTTATTGATATTTTTTTTTTGCAGTTAAAGGAACACTATAGTCACCTAAATTACTTTAGCTAAATAATTATGCAGCCCTAGCCACACCTCCCCTGGCTATGATTGACAGAGCCTGAATGAAAAAAAAAACTGGTTTCACTTTCAAACAGATGTAATTTACCTTAAATAATTGTATCTCAATCTCTAAATTTAACTTTAATCACATACAGGAGGCTCTTGCAGGGTCTAGCAAACTATTAACATAGCAGGGGATAAGAAAATCTTAATTAAACAGAACTTGCAATAAAGAAAGCCTAAATAGGGCTCTCTTTACAGGAAGTGTTTATGGAAGGCTGTGCAAGTCACATGCAGGGAGGTGTGACTAGGGTTTATAAACAAAGGGATTTAACTCCTAAATGGCAGAGGATTGAGCAGTGAGGCTGCAGGGGCATGTTCTATACACCAAAACTGCTTCATTTAGCTAAAGTTGTTCAGGTGACTACAGTGTCCCTTTAAAGGATTTACAGGAAATACACTGATCAGCCACAACATTAAAACCATCTGCCTAATATCATGTAGGTCCCTTTGTGCTGTCAATACAGTTTTGATGCTTCGAGGCATGAGTTCCACAAGACCTCTGAACATATCCTGTGGGATCTGGCACCAAGACATTAGCAGCAAATTCTTTAAGTCCTGCAAATTGTGAAGTGGGGCCTCCATGGATTGGATTTGTTGTTCATGCAAATCCCACAGATGATCAATCAGATTGAGATCTGTGGAATTTGGAGACCAAGTCAACACCTTGAAATTTTTGTCATGCATGGGCCTCTGGAGGGGGGGGGGGGGGCCCAAAGGGGCAGCCCTGTATTTTTCAACTTGCACCCTCCCCACAGGCAGGTGGCTTTGAAATAATTTTCGCTCAGACTGTGACAGTTTGTGTCAGTCCGAGGGAAAGAAAGAGGGAAGTGCTGGAGGCTGGTGCAGCCCCATTTAGGCTGCCAGGGGGCCAGATGTGACTGTGAGGCTCCCTTCCCAATGCCCAGATTTTCTGTGCCTCTTTGCTCCACCCCCACCTCCCGCATGCAAGCCCTGCCCCCACATATAAGCCCCGCCCCCGCACTAACACTCCGGACCTCGTCGGAAGGAAGAGGCCAGAAAATGGACACTTCACCTCCCAGTGCTCCCAGTCTCCCACGGTCTTCTGTGACAGGTAGGCTTCAGTCCATAACAGTGATTGTGATTGTGCGTGTGTGTGCCTGCTAGGGAGTGAGCTTGTGTCAGTGAGCTTGTCTGTAGTGAGCATGTGTGTGTGTCAGTGAGTGTGAATGTAGGGAGGAAGTGTCAGTAAGCTTGTCTGTAGTGAACTTGTGTGTGTGTCAGTCAGTGTGGCTGTAGTGAGCTTGTGTGTGTGTGTGTGTGTGTGTCAGTGAGTGTATCTGTAGGGAGCAAGTGTCAGTGAGCTTTTCTGTAAGTGAGCATGTGAGTGTGTCAGTGAGTTTGTAGTAAGCATGTGTGTCACTGAGCTTGTCTGTAGTGAGCGTGTGAGTGTGTCAGTGAGCTTGTCTGTACTGAGCATGTGTGTGTCAGTGAGTTTGACTGTAAGCGAGCATGTGTATGTGTGTCAGTGAGCTTGTGTGTGTGTCAGTGAGCTTATGTGTGTCAGCTAGCTTTTCTGTAGTGAGCATGTGTGTGTCAGTGAGCATGCCTTTAGTGAGCATGTGTATATGTGTCAGTGAGCTTGTGTGTGTTGGCGAGCTTTTCTGTAGTGAGCATGTGTGTGTCAATGAGCTTGCCTGTAGTGAGCATGTGTGTGACAATTAGCTTGTCTGTAGTGAACGTGTGTGTGCCAGTGAGTTTGTCTGTAGTGAGCATGTTTGTGTGACAATGAGCGTGTCTGTAGTGAGCTTTTCTGTTGGGAGCATGTGTGTTTCAGTGAGCTTATGTGTAAGCGAGCTTGTATGTGTCAGCTTGCTTTTCTATAGTAAGCATGTGTGTGTCAGTGAGCGTGTCTCTAGTGAGCAAGTGTATATGTGTCAGTGAGTTTGTCTGTAAGTGAGCATGTGTTGGTGAGCTTTTCTGTAGTGAGCATGTGTGTGTGTGTCAGTGAGTTTGTAGCGACCATGTGTGTGCCAGTGAACTTTTCTGTAATGAGCTTGTCTGTAGTGAGCATGTGTGTCAGTGAGCTTTTCTGTAGCGCGCATGTATGTGTGTGTGTGTGTCAGAGAGCTTGTGTGTGTCAGTGAGCTTATCTGTAGTGAGCATGTGTGTGTCAGTGAGCTTGCATGTAGTCAGTTTGTGTTTGTATACCAATGAGCTTGTCTGTAGTAACCTTGTGTGAGTGTCAGAGTTTGTACTAAGTTTGTGTGGGTATGCCAGTAAGCTTGTTTCTGTGTGTCAGTGAGATGGTCTCTCAGTGAGCCTATTTGTGTGTATTAGTGAGCTTGTGTTTTTATGTCAATTGATTAATGTGTATCAATGAAATTGTCTGTCTGTGAGCCTGTGTATCAATGAGCGTGTGTTCTTTTGTCAGTGATATTGTCTGTGAATGCATGTGAGTATGCTTACTGTACAATAAATTTTTTTACACTGACAGAACCAATATTTTGAATTAGAAAAGAAACATACCAATAATATATATATATATATATATATATATATATATATATATATATTTATTATATACACAAGGTAGCCCTGGAAAAAATGTATGCCAGCCCCTATAAGTCATATGTGTGTGTGTGTGTGTGTGTGTGTGTGTGTGTATATATATATATATATATATATATATATATATATATAACTTATAGGGGCTGGCATACATTTTTTTCCAGGGCTACTGTGACAGACCCATCTGTCTGGATTACAACTGCGTTGTTCGTCTGTTTTGCCGTTTTCATGAATTTCCCCGTTCGTATGCTTTGTTTAAGAGAATGTCGGTTTTGTCGAACGGAACTACCGAACGGACGGCCACCCAGAAGAGAAGTGTGCTGCTGGTTAACCTACTGATCCCAATTAGAACGTTGCGGTTAACCACAGACACTTCTCAATTAAAAACCGAATGCCGGGTGGTCGTCGTTCGTATGTCGACCACGAGGCGGCGGCCATTTTGTCCATGCGAACGACCAGCGGTGTTCAACGATTTTTTCATGGATCGGAAAACGGACACTTTTTCAGCCGAACACCGCTGAAGCCGTCGACCTCCCCTTCTCAATCGACAAAAGCATGCGAACGACAGCCGTTCGGGAGATTCAACCACACGAATGGACTTAACCCAGATAGCCGTCCCATGGAGTCAATCGCATACCGAAGAACTGAAAGAGACTTTGACTCCATGGCGATTGAACTGTGCGAATGGGATCTGAGCGCTATTCTCCAATAATGTGCCCTCAGATCCAGGCTATCTGGGGATATGCAAGACTGATGTAAAATGTTCAGCAGTTATTAAGTTATGGATTTTTGTGTGGTTTTGTAACTTGTATCTAAAATGGCGATTGCCTCTGCTCGGGGAGATAATTGAATTACTTCCCAATTATCCCCCGAGCAGAGGGGAGGGAACTGTACTGCATGCTGGGAATATTGTGGGGATGTATGTCCAGAATGTCCCCATGTCCCTCTGTGATTTCAGTCTCCCATTTGGTCCCCTAGGGGAGTGTCCACCAAGTGGGAGACCTGCATAAATACCGGGCAGGTAGCCCACAGTAAACCAGTTCGTGTTTTACCCTCAAAGCGGAGCTTGGTCTCGTTATTGGGGGGATTTGGATACCAGCGGCGAGAGACTGCTTACTTGGATTATTTGCCGCTTGGGAGATATTGTCGTTCGGTTATTAATTGCCGTTCGTGGATTTGCGGCTTGCGAAGGGAATTAGCCGTACAGGTACCGTTCGGGAGTTTGGAGTGTTCCCTGGCTGGCGGTTCGCCTGGTTTTATTATACCCGCTACCCGACCACATTATTGCGAACGGGGAATACTCGCTAAACGGCGGTTTGTACATTTCGTTCCTGGAGGTACCGTAACAACTGGTGGCAAGCGACGGGATGATCCTCAACGCCCAAAGAGACCATTACAACCAGGACTAAATGGAATTACAATACCAAAACCTGAGGAGGGCTACCCTAAAGGATTTATTGGAGCAAAGAGGGGGACAAGCCAGTAACCTCAGGAAGAGGGATATTATTGCGTTATTGCTGGAAATGGATGGAGTACCAGCGGCAGAGGGAACCAATGGACCCAGCGCAGCTGACAGAACCCCCGAGGAGGCAAGCTTTGACCGGGCGGTAAGAATCAGGCTGGCACATTATGGTCCCAACCCGACTACAGAGACCATTGACCGGGTCATGGCAGCTGTGGAGGCCAACCTGCTTCGCCAAAGCGGTGCTGCAGCAGCCCCAGTCACAGCAAACCCGGGGGATAGGAAAAAGGTACCATTCACTGCGTTTAAAGCCTTCAGTGAAACAGAAGGAGAGATCGATGGGTACCTTGCTGATTTTGAGCGGCAATGTGCCCTGCACAAGGTACCCCTGGAAGACTGGGTCACTATATTGTCCGGCAAGTTATCCGGCCGGGCCAGCGAGGCATTTCGAGCCATTCCTGATGAGGAGATTGGGGATTATGTGGCCGTCAGGGAAGCTTTACTCTCCCGGTATGCCGTTACACCTGAGGCATACCGGAGGAGGTTCCGAGACACCGTCAAGACCTCTGGGGACTCATACGTGGAATGGGCATGTAAGGTGCATCGCACAGCCGCCCACTGGATGGCGGGGTGCCAGGCTGTGTCCGGAGAAGAGGTGTTGCAGATGTTTCTTTTGGAACATTGTTTTGATAAATTGCCAGCAGGGGTCAGAGAGTGGGTAAGGGACCGTAAACCCTCCACTCTGCACGAAGCAGCTCGCCTGGCAGATGAGTATACTGACGCCCGCAAACTGGACAGTCTCATCAGCAAGGCTCCCGCCAGAGTGGAATACAGGCCAACAGCACCAATAGCAGCCAACCTATACCAGCCTCCCATGAATCGCCCATCGGCACCGCCTCCATCTGCCCCGTACCAACAGCCACCTCGGTTCAACTCACGGGAGTATGCCCAACCCATTCGGTGCTACCTGTGCAAGCAACTAGGGCACAAGCGACCCGAGTGCCCGATGAACAGCGCCAACCAGAACCAGTCCTGGAGGAGACCAGCCGGCGGCAATCCACGACCCCCCATCCCAGCCACTCACTGTGTAGAGGAAGAGGAGTGCTGGGGCATCCTGCATGAGGCAGACCCCGTTCAGGCTGCCCACCGGGATAACAGGCAGCACCACCGACAATGTGTAAAAGTCAATGGGAAGGAGGTCAGTGGTCTACGGGATACCGGGGCAACCATGACTTTGCTCCAGAAACACCTGGTATCTGAAGCCCAACATACAGGGGACACGGTCGCCGTACGAGTAGCTGGAGGTGCCGTGTTCCGTCTGCCCGTTGCCCGGGTACATTTGGATTGGGGAGTGGGCGCTAGACATGTGAATGTGGGGGTCATGAAGGACTTACCAGCGGATGTCCTCCTTGGCAATGACTTGGCGCCCCTTGTTTCCGCCTACGCTCCCATGGGTCCTGCTGAAGTGAATGCTGTCACGACCCGTGCCCAGACCCGTGCCGCCAAGACCGGCCCACCTGCTGTTGAGACCCAGGTAAGACTCTCTACCCCGACTTGTACCTTAGACCAGGCCCCTTTAGGCTGGGATACCCCAGAGATATACGGGAAGGAAACCAGGGAAGACCCGACGCTAGCAAAGTACAGGGCCAGGGCCGATTCTGGGGGAGAAGGAGTAGATGGGGAGCACTACGAGTGGGTGGGGGATAGACTCTACAGGATCCCGAAACCGCCCCAGAAGCCGAATACCCCTCCGCAGAATCGACAGCTAGTGGTGCCCGCAAAATACCGGCAGGAGATTCTGCGGATTGGGCATGATGTGCCATTAGCCGGCCATCTAGGTTCCCGCCGCACAGCTCATAGGATCACGCAAAATTTCTTCTGGCCCAATTTTAACCGAGATGTGCGGGTCTATTGTAGCACGTGTGACACCTGTCAACGGGTAGGTAAGCGGGGGGATCACCCAAAAGCTAGGCTTCAGTCGATGCCTATCATTGGAGAACCCTTTTCCCGCATAGCCGTTGACATTGTGGGTCCACTGGCCAGGGCTAGTCCATCAGGTAAGAAGTATATTCTCACCGTGGTGGACTATGCCACACGCTACCCAGAGGCAGTAGCACTGTCCAATATAGAGGCAGAGACGGTTGCTGATGCCCTGGTTAAAATCTTCACTAGGGTCGGGTTCCCTCAGGAGATCCTCTCCGATCAGGGAACCCAGTTCACCGCTGTGCTTACCCAGCAGCTGTGGAAGGTGTGCGGTATTAAACCTCTGCTTAGCTCACCTTATCACCCACAGACTAACGGTCTCTGCGAGCGATTTAATGGCACCCTCAAACAGATGTTGAGGACCTTTACTGACACTTGCAGAGACTGGGAGCGATTCCTGCCTCATCTGCTATTTGCATACAGAGAGGTGCCCCAGGAATCTACTGGGTTCTCCCCCTTTGAGTTACTCTATGGGAGAAGGGTCCGTGGACCCCTAGATCTCATTAGAGGACACTGGGAGGGGGAGACAGAGCAAGAAGGGACCCCCATAGTACCATATGTCCTGGAACCGCATGGAGAAACTGTCCCTGATGGTAAGGGAGAATCTCCAGGCGGCCCAGGGGAGACAGAAACGGTGGTACGATCGGGGTGCCCGACAGCGGATCTTCCAGGTTGGGCAGAAGGTTCTGGTACTCAAGCCTGTGAAGACGAACAAGATGCAAGCATCTTGGCAGGGCCCGTATAAAGTGTTAGCTCAGGTATGCGATACTACCTACCTTATAGCCAGCTGTTCAGATGAAAGGATTCAGCGATCCTTCCATGTGAACATGCTGAAGGAGTATCAGGAACGACCGGAGGATGTTGCAGCAGTATGTGCCCCAGCTACTGACGACCCCGAGAACTTACCGTTACCTGACTTGCTAGAGAGGGACCCCCAGACAGACCTTACTAGTCTTGTACAGCTAGGGGACCAACTACACCCGGCGGAGAAGGTACAGGCAAGACAATTACTGTGGGAGAAGCAGGCCACGTTCTCCCAAGAACCCGGGTACACTACCCTAGCTGTACACAAGGTCGAGACACCCGGACAGAACCCCCTACGGCAACCCCCATACCGCATCCCTGAAGCAGTCCGAGAAGGAATGCGGAAGGAGATACAGGAAATGACCAGGCTGGGGGTTATCGAACATTCGGACAGTCCTTGGGCCTCGCCTGTAGTTCTGGTGCCTAAGAAAGATGGGACCACTCGGTTCTGTGTGGACTACAGGCGGCTCAACGAGCGGACCACCACTGACGCCTACCCGATGCCCCGGGTAGACGAGTTATTAGACCGTATTGCCAGGGGGCGCTATCTGACCACCATAGACCTGTGCAAAGGCTATTGGCAGATCCCCTTGGCCGAGGATGCTATCCCCAAGTCGGCATTCGTCACCCCATTTGGCCTATACCAGTTTAAGGTTATGCCATTTGGGATGAAGAATGCTCCGGCTACTTTCCAGCGTATGGTGGATAGGCTCCTCGATGGCTTCCAGGACTTTGCATGTGCATACCTGGATGACATTGCGGTCTACAGTGAGTCCTGGGAAGACCATTTAGTACACGTGGGGGTGGTGCTGGACAAGATTCGGGCCGCAGGCCTGACCTTGAAGCCAGACAAGTGCCATCTAGGCATGGCAGAAGTACAGTACTTGGGTCACAGAGTAGGCTGTG